GCTTGTGACCGGTCACCAACTGGATTTACCTCCATTCACCACAACTCTGTGGGCTCAGACACCCAGCCAATTTTTTATCCAGTGAAAAGTACACCCATCTGACATAATCTAAGCAGTGACAGTTAAAACTGTTTCAAGATGTCTCTGATTTTTTTTAGGTAAGAGGTAATGATATTTGAAGGTTACAATTTGGAAAATACAACATACGTACATTTTCAAAGGACCACTTGCTACAGTTACCTGTGTCACCTGAGGAAGTAAATAATGGCATACCTTGTCTGCTATCTGCAGATAATACTTTTGCTGTTCCAAAGTCTGTTATTTGAATGTGCATATCTTCATTTAGCAAGATGTTCTCTGGCTTAAGGTCCCTGGAAGAGGCAGACTTTTGTATTTAAACAGCACACAAATTAAAGTTGCAAAACTGTCTAGTGACTTATGTACATAATGCTATCACATAAGTGATACAGACATTCTAGAAACATTGTTGTGCCAACTTTCCTCTAACTTGTAGCTGTCAACATGCAGACTGCTAACAGATTTTGAAAAGCCCATTATTTAACATTTTTTCTAAAAAGACCTGAGGTAATGAATAATCTCAAAACTAAGCTATTATTCAACAAAAAGGGAAAAAAACCCCCCAAAACCCAAAAAACCCCACAAACCCTTTTCACTCCCAAGCCTTAGTTTAAATAACATCTGACATTGATATGGCAGTCAGATCTTCTAGGCCTGCTTACTCAGTGCAAAACTGCAGTTAGTCAAACAATGGCAACCCCCTGCCACCAGCTAAATGTCCAGAACGGAGAAGAACTGTAAACCACCTCCACTCTTTAAGAATGGCATGTTTATATTTGTCACATACAAATCCATGTATGATCTGTATTTCAAATGTATGTGTACCTTTTGTATGGACGCTGCCTCTGATTCTGAATAAAACCAGACCTCACAGCATCACACACACAATATATAGCAATATAGAGTTACACGTCAAGAGGTTCATTAGCAACAACAGAAAAAATAGCATTGGGTTACACTGTTATGATACTATTCACTTTGCACCAAGTTTCCTCAGCTGACAGACAAGACAACATTCTTCCTTCCTAAGAAGCACCTTTGGATGCTCATAAATCTAGAAGCATGGGAGTTGTTTTCGTTGACTGGTAAGAAAAATCAGTGCAAATTCAAAGCTGTTTCCATCAACCACTGTGCAGCATTATTTTCCTCAGATTACAGCCCCCTATTATTGAAAAGCATGGTTGTGCAGTTGTACAGCTTAAAGTCTGTGGACTAGCACAGAGAGCAATTGGAATGAAGTAATTATGACACACAAGCCATAAAAATCCCATTCATTTTTCTGTAACTGTTCTCAGAGATAAGTAGAAAGTACATGAATGGAATGGATAACAGTTCTGTGTGGTTTGTTTTTTTTTACATATACATATGTATGTACATATATTGTACTTTATACACACATATACTTACAGTTTATATATCATATACCTACATTACATATTAATACCATATTATGGGTCTAGGATATAGGTATATCTAGATACATAGAGAGATATATCTGTAGTAACTTTTCCAGAGTAGCCTGGCATCTTAAAGTGGTTCTATCTCATATTTCTTTAGGCAGCAGAAAATCCTAAGAGCTTTCAGGCACTGCTAGAGCTATGGACTTACAATTAAATAAACTTAGTATAAAGTTCGCTAATTGCACAATTTCACTGCTTTCTTTTGAGCTTCTCATAGTGGCCTTCACATGAAGGCAGATATAAAGCAGCTCTTTTATAATACGAGATTTCCAATATAGACTTAGGAATACTGACAATTATGCTATGTTAATTTTATAAGCATTCTCCCAGCCTAACACATGGACTATATAATCAAAGTGAAACTGGGAGTTCTTGAACTTTTTTTCCCCCCCATGTAGAAAATTTTATGCTTTTAGTACTCTCCACATCCAGCCTCCTTGGATTCTATTCCCAATTATTTCACCAAAAAAGTATTAGGAAAATATTTTGTCCTTCTAAAGATAGCTGAAAGAAGTAATAATGCTATCAGAATTATAATCAGCCAGGTTTTTGCTAACTATTATCTACTGCTCCATGAGCAACTGCTTGGGAACCTACAGACACAATAGATTTCTTACCAAAAAAAGAAGTTCTGCATCTCAGATTTCTCACACTTACAGTTTTAATTTGTTTAACAAACAAGAATGACAAAACACACTTATCCAGACAATATAATTACATCAAGAACAACTCTGAAGTTCCTATTAAAAACTTTGCTAAATTTCACCATTTACCTAGTTATTGTTCAGCTTTGTGGAAATTGTTCACTCAGTAAAAAAAATGACATGCGCTAATTTTACTTTTCTTGATGACATGCTGCATATTAATTCACACACCAGCAGAATTCTAGTTATTTTTGGTACATAACACTGCAGAAAAAAAAAAAGTAGTTAAACAAAAAGTCAGTTTCTGGTTTTAGCCCAACTGATCAAGCTTGAAAAAGACAAGCTTTTGGCAATGTTAATTCTAGGCCAAAAAGTTTTCTTACTTTTTCCTGCTAGAACAGTTGGTCTAATAACAGAGATCAGTTCGCCTCCTAAAGTCGTCTTTGTTTAGCTCGCAATGTTAACAACAGTACTAATGCAATACTATTATGCTCTCATTAGCTTTCCATAAAATCCACGTTTGCTTTAGACTTCACAAAGAACATTTCTAGAAAAAACACCTTGTGAGTAATCAAATGCATGTTGGTCTCAATTTTGTATTACCTGTGAATTATTCCTTTCCCATGCAAATACTCCAGGGCTGATACAATTTCAGCAGTATAAAACCTGGTACAGGTCTCATCAAATGAGCCAATTTTGCGTATATACTTTAGCAGCTCTCCATTTTTGGCATAGCTAAGCCCAAAATCTGAATGTAAGTATAGTTAAGGTCTATCACTAAACCATTCTAAAACAAAAATCCCCACACCTCATTCCGAAGACAAGAATAATACTAAAAATATATGAACAACGCAGAAGTTGGTTAATTTGAAACTTTACATGGTAGCAACCCAAAACAATTTCTTAAATATATTAACAACCTAGGACACAGGTCCCAATTTCTTAGCATAGCAAAGACTACATAAAGAGTTAAATTTGTAGTTTTTCCAGTCACCTGAATAATTCATTTAAACTGTATACATAATTGCCCTCAAAGAGAACTATTTACAGTCATAACGAATATTCAACCTAAGTTTAAAATTGCCCCATCATCTGGAAAGTTCCCAAGTCAGCCCAGCATGCAATGAGCAAATGTTTACATTACAAATTAAAGTCCTGTAAGTTCTGTTAGTGCATGCGTGTACCTATGTAAGTACATACACAAATACACACATGATATAGGGGCTGTTAGCACTGCTAGCAGCCTCTGTAAAAAACACAGCTACTCACTGACCCCAGAAATAGACTGATCTATCCTTTTACCCTTGGCACACCCAATTCAAAGCAGGGAGTTTAGGAGCAAATTCGCATTATTAACATTTTCTCCACAAGGAAAAAAAAAACACTGGCTGCAAACCAATGAGCTTTCAAGATGAAACTGCACTTTGCAATTACTGCTAGAGAGATAACTTGGGAAACAGTGGCCCAAACAGAAGAGTTTCAGCTTTCTATCATTCAGATTATTCTGTAAGCACTTCTGCATAAGAAAAAATTTAATAGATCTAATTGTTCAAATAAGAAATAGTAGAAAATATAGCTGGCTACCCCTATTTTAAACACAGGAATTGTGGTGCTTTACTGTATATATCAGAAATAAAGCATTTCTAAAACATTTCTCATACCCCCCCCAATTTTTTTTTTTTTTAATTATTTCAGACTTAGATTGTTGCAAGTTGTCTTTCAGCATTTACCACATGGACAATATAAGCTACTGTTTTATTCATTTCCCCTGTTCCACAAGTCACCCACTCTTCTCTTTGAGGGGGCACACTTATTCTATTTGCTTAATTTCTATTAAAAGCATGACTGCAAAAATTGCATTGCAAACATTAAGATATTTTAAATACCTCAAGTTATTTTCATCATTCCGGTTACACAATTTTTCAAAGGAACCAAAGCTGGGGATTGTTACTTTTAAGAAAGTGCTACAGAAAGTTTTAAAATGCAAAGGATACATAGCTTTTCGTCATCCTGAAAGGTGAAGTAGAGTTTCACAAAAAAAGGGTGATCCAGGCGGGACATTACATCTCTCTCTCGTGTCACATATGGCACCTTGTTTTCTTTTATGATATGACGTTTTTCTAGAATTTTAACTTAATAAAAAAAAAAGACAGAGTGAAAATGCACGAGGTAAAAACCAAATGAAGTCCCTCTAATTTGTTTAGGGTTTTTTTTTTTTGTTAGATAAAATTATCATAAAGCCACTAATTCTGTCTTTTGAACAGGTGTTTTGTAACAGGACTACATTGATATAGTATTTTTAAAAAGTTCATGTTGAAGGAGTCAATACTTACTGGCATATTCTCTAGAACTTGCCAATTCTCGAGCCAAGACAACCTGTTGCCAGAGGAGAGAAAATATATTGTAACCATTCATTAGAGACACACACTAACATGAATTTTGATCTTCTAGGAGGTATTTAGAATACTGGTTGTCCAAAATAAGCTATCACAACTACAATCAGCAAAATATTTAAGCATGTGTTCATATTACCCTGACTTCAGCAAGACCTCTGCAGAAATTCAGTTCAGCTAACAACACTTGTTTTACTAAAAGACTTCCACACCTGACTAGGTCATCACTGATTTACTTTTTTTTTTTTCTAGAAGATTTCTGAAGATTGTAATGTAAGTCACAGGAAATTGCCAAATCATCTTAAAAGGGAAAAAAAAAAGCAACAAGTGTGCTAAGGAATATTTATAAAATCTGTCACAGTTCTTTTTCTTAACATAAACGGCAAAGATTTAAAGATAAAGGTTATTTGAAAGACCAGAAGAAGCGAGACAGAACTTTCACCTATTTACAGTTTGTTAGGAAAAAGATTTAAAGAAAGGGAATAAGAGATTTTCAATTAGTAGAAGCAAGGGATAAAGTTTCAGGAAAGCAGTTCTACATTTTTAATGAAAAAAAGCTTTTGGAAGAACACAAATTAAGGCTTGTCTTCAAGAAAGAACTTCTATAAAAGGCAACTTTTAAGACAATCCAAAAAGTCCTCTTGCATGAATCTGAGCAATAACCTTGTAACAATAGCTGACTACAGCTTATGTTTTTCTCATTTTAAATTTATATCTATTCCAATACCTTGCTAGAATCTCAACATTATACTAATTTTTTTTATTAAATCACTGTACCAGGGTTGCTTCTAACACACTTCTCATTATATTCTAACCCCTTGCAAAATCAGTTATAATGGAGTACTCCAAAATATTATTACATACACCAGACACTAAACATTAGGCATTTAGGGAAAAGAGCTTCTAAATAAGGCACTTTTTCAGGTGAACGAAATGCATGCAGTTGCACTCTTTCAGCATAAGAAAATTAAAATCTCAGTTCAGTAGTAAGAGGCACCTTTAATTTGCTAAAAAAGTTAATCTTCTACAAACACACTGAAGTTCACAGTATTTGATCAATGAAAATTTCCACTAGAAACAACCAGTCTGTTACAAGCTGCATCTCTGCATAAGGAATTTGAGACCCTTCTGTGTACACAGGTAACATTAAAGCTGTGCAAATGAGAACGTTCTTAACTTTTCTAATTTTTGTTGCCAAGTTTCATCAATCAAGTCCACCATTAAAGCTACTGAAACCAGGTGACTTTAAGTCAGTTGTTAAATAAATACCCAGATACATAGCGCTAACTTTCTGCATTTTGGAAATTGATACTTTTACATTTTCATAAAACAATTCAGTGCCATCAGTAAAACAAAAATGCAACAGGCAATTTTGCCTACATATACACACACAGATGGCAGAAGTGATCAACTGACACAGGTGAAAATATATCTTGGCTAATAAGTCTCAAACTTGAATTAAGCTGTATCACTCCGAAGACTGACTATCCTCCAGTCCTGCATGGTATCAAATTTTTTACCATTAGATTTCAGATGTATTACCCACATACTGACACTGATGTTGAGCAGCTGTGTTCTAAGTACACAGGATTGAGTATTTACCTCCTAGCAAGAGTACTTGGGTACCCTCAAGTCCCTTCCTCACTGAACAAATCTGAGTATACCATATACCCTAACTTCCTCCTAACCAATAATCCACAAAAAACAGTAGAATCACAACAAAAAAGAAAAGTCCCACAGAGGTACACATTAATACCATGTCCCTGCTATCAGGGACCTGAATCTTATCCACCCTATGGGAAGAAGTAATATCAACAAGGAATGTAAATCCTACAGAAAGGAATTAGACCTTAGATAGGTAGCATAAAAAAAAGAAAACCACCAAAACACAAACACAAAACCAAAAGCATTCACAGAACACGTAAATGGGTAGGTTGCAAATCCAGGCAACAGCAAGGCAAGAAATGTGGTTAAACATCCCAAACTGGAGGAAGGTGAGATAAGAAGAGCAGAGGACCCTTAACAGAAGCTACAAAGCAGAAACAATTGCCAAAATAATTGGCAGACGTCATGGCCAAGCCCAGCTCTAGACTTGAACAAATACTTCAGGCTGCCAGAGATTAAGTCTGGATTTAAGAACTGGTTGTGGTCAAACACTCATACTTCCTTAGAGCTCCTCCTCTTTTTAAGAGAAGCCTCATTTATAGGTGGAGACAAAATTGGGGTAGGGGGTAAAAAAACATGTACCAGCCATACCGAAGGAGGTGAGTGAGACAACATGCCTACCCAAACATGAGAATTATAATTCTGCCACCACATAACAGATACTATTCTGAGAAGAGCTTGAAGCTGTCTACAAACAAGTAGATTTTCATTACTTTAAAAGAGCAGAGCAACAACTAGAAGCGCCCGCATTTGTCTATCTGTCAATATCAAGTATGGATCCAAGAACAGTTACAGCTACAGAAGGCAGCCCCACAAAATTGCAGTATGCTCTGAAGAAAAATCCTGAGGCCAGATCATGTGCATCTCTGCTGAATTTGAAATACAGCACTCGCTCCAAGTAGAGTTTGTGGTAGCTTAACAGAAGTCGAAGAACACAGCATATATTCATTATGAACCCGAGTAAATGACTTTCTTTTTTTATCTGAAGCTGTCATTGGAGGCATGGTAATACAAAGGCCCCTGCTTTTTGAGATGATCACTTTTTAGTCAGAATATTGGTGAAGATCTTGGGGAGTACAATCAGATCTCTGAATCTACAACTACGTTTAATAAGAAAGAGGGTAGATTTGGATTAGATATAAGAAATTCTTCACTCTGAGGGTGGTGAGGCACTGGCACAGGTTGCCCAGAGAAGTTGTGGATGCCCCATCCCTAGAAGTGTTCAAGGCCAGGTTGGATGGGGCTTTGAGCAACCTGGTCTAGTGGAAGGTGTGCCTGCCCATGGCAGGGGGGGCTGGAACTAGATGATCTTTAAGGTCCCTTCCAACCAAAACCATTCTATGATTCTATGAAGAACAAAGCACATGCTTTTTAACAAGATGTTTTGATAACAATGTGAAGATACATGCCCCACAAATCAAGAGCTCTGGTGTTGATACATCAGAGGGTTCTGCTGCCATCCAGAGGGACCTCAACAGACTGGAGAAATGGGCAGGCAGGAAATCTCATGAAGTTCCCTTCTTTGAACTACAAACTCCTCCTCCTGGGGAGGAGTAATCCCATGAACCAGTATATGGTGGGGGCTAATGGGCTGGAAAGCAGCTTTGCAGAAGAGGACCCAGGGGTCCTGGTGGACACCAATCTGAACATGAGCCAGCAATGTGCCCTTGCTACAAAGGTGGCAAATGGTATCCTGGGCTGCATTAGGAGGAATGTTGCCAGTATGTTGATGGAGGTGATCCTTCCCCTCTATTCAGCATGGGTAAGATCACACCTGGAGTACTGCATCCAGTTCTGGGCTCCTCAGTAAAACAGAGACATGGAGCTACTGGAAAGAGTCCAGAGAAGGACCACTAAGATTTTTAACAGAGTGAAGAATCTCTCATTTGAGGAAAGGCTGAGAGAGACGGGATTGATCAGCCTAGAGAAGAAAAGGCTCAGGGGAAATCTCAGCGATGTATATAAATATCTGAAGAGGAAGTGTAAAGAAGATGGAGTCAGGCTCTTTTCAGCAGCGGGCCAAACTGAAACACAGGAGGGTCCATTTGAACATCAGGAAACACTTTTTTTACTGTGAAGGTGACCAAGCACTGGCACAGGCTGCCTGGAAAGGCTGTGGAATATCCATCCTTGGAGATACTGAAAAGCTGTCCAGACATGGTCCTGAGCAACTAGCTGTAGGCTGCTGCATGATATCACCTCCAGAGGTCCCTTGCAACCTCAATCCTTCTGTGATTCTGTAAGAGCAGCAAGTAAGTTTACTTCTTGGGGGATGCGGTCTATAGGTTGAAGGCTACAGTTATTATCCTGAGCTTAAAGTTTTTAAATTAAAAAAAAATCAGTTGCTGAAGACAGAACTGGACATTACTTATTTTTTAAATAATAATAAGCACATATTGTTAAGTCCCCTCCAGCAACAGTTTGTAACCTGTTCAGTGGCCATGGAAAGAGCATAAGCAAGCATCTCCTGTGGAGTCTGATCATTATGAAAGGCATCCCTAAAACTATTGATCACTTTCTATAGTCATAGTGCTGCAATAATGGACCAGAACTGCTAAGGTTGACAGAGGAGGTGACGGGCAGGAGAACTAACTCCCAAACACACCTTCTCTAGCACGGAGGCCCAGATGATTATGATAACTGAAATTCTGCTTGTTAAACTCAGAAGAACAAGGCTACGTAGGGATTAACATTTTCACGGTATTCATTCTCTTTCCTGCTGCCCACCTATATGCATTTGAGCTACCTAGACTTGGGACCAAAAAAAACCCGCCATCTACCAGCGAACAGGACACCGTAACAGAAGTTTATTCAGAATCTGGGCTAGGCCCTATGAATTTCTCTATTTACAAGGAACATGGTGCTAACTTTCAGAGACCACAAGCAGAAACTAAGTGTGTCTCACTGAAGCAGAGTGTTCCAGTATACTCAAGAGGCAGCAGCTCCTCTGTTGGATTCTTTAGGGAAACCTGCAAGTTGCAAACTGTGTATTTAAGTGCAAATTACTCTTGATGACTACTAGAGGCCTGCTTCCTAAACACCACAGTAGATTGTAGAGGAAGAACCAGAAAACCCCCCACGTATAGAGATCAACAACCAAAAGGTATATACAACAAACAACATGTGAAAAAGATACAGAAATATTTCTTATTGTCTTACAATGGGGCAACTACAAAAGCAGCAAATGGAAGTATTAACTGCTTCATGGTTCTTTCAGATAACACTTCAGCAATTCATTCTTGTGCGATGCCATGGATGTGAGAAGTCAGTCAGATACAATCCATTTAAGGCCACTGAATACAAAGATACTAACTGTGACTCACAAAGTCCTTGAGGGCCATGACACTAGAGGCTGGGAAATAGTATTGGAGAAGTATCACTATTCTTATTTTCTTCCCTAAGCATCCGGCAGTAGCTCCTGCCACAGACAGGACACTGTGTAGAAGTTGTTACCATGACACACTCCTAGCCCAGTTCCAAACCTTTAGATCATAAAATTTTAACATATCCCATTATGCTACCAAACTTACATTAGAAAGCAATGCCCCCTAAAAATCCAAGCATCAAGTCATCAGGATACAAGGAACCTCTGGTGAGTTTAAAAGGTACTTGAAAAACCAGCATCCATGTTTAGTGCAACACTTAATTTTACTAGCTAAACTTAAAACCACTATGTCCCGTTCATTTACTCTTCAAGCTGTTCTCTCCGGATTTAAATCTCAGCAATAAACTTCAAAATTTGCTGTGCAAGTAATATCTAAGCTATCTGGCACTTCTTATAAAAAGTAAAGTTACCGTTGAAAAAGATCCTTCGCCGAGAATTTTCCCAAATTTGAAGTCATCAGGTCGTTTCTTTCGAGGCTGTGGAGGCTGCTGTCCTGTATGTTGCTGCAAGGAGTTTGAACTAGATCTTGATTCAGCTGCAGTGCCCTCCATGTTAGATCCCTGCCTGCTGCCACAGGTGGAAATGACAGATGGAGTGCTGGAATCTGCTTGGCTCCTCACCATTGATGGGGATGAACAGGAGCATAACACCACACTAGACTGGATTGGAACAGCGTCATACTGAAAAGATAAACGAAAATGTTATTCCCATACCTTCAAGGAGCTACCACACGCATCTGTATCTTACTTCCATATGAGCATCATGTAAAGTCCCATTTGAAAGGGTTATCATTAAAATCTCTTTAGGAGTGAATGTTAGTATTTATTTTGAAAATGACAGCTCTTAGTTTGTTAAACAACTCTGTTTATGTCCTATTGCGCACATACATATAGCCATATGTCAAAAGTCTGAACACTTGAATTCAAGAATGCTTTTTCTCAAACTCAAAAAAAACCACTCCCTAACACCAAGGTATCAAATTTCACGGTATATTCTCCTACAAATAACATGATATTTAAGCTTTATTTTGTGCTTAGAGACATCCGCCCAATCTCAAGTAGTAGTAGTTTTCCTGAAACTAAAAGACTTATGTAGTTGTGCAACAAACACCTGTATTCAGGAGTAACATTAGTTTAGAGATCCAAGTTACAACAAATTGTAAATGAACAAGTAAAGCATGAAAACTTTAATGGAGACAAGGGATACATTCCTACATTTTTACTTGGAATCCCACTTTCTCCAATAGTATTTCTCTTTAATACACATTGGGGAAGGACAGGAAGAAAAGAGAGAACAACAAACAAAAGGCAGATCAGCTGGGGGGTTTAGTAATCAGCAATATCTAATACTTTTTTTGAAGAACGCTCTGGTCCGTGACATTTTAAAAACAAGGGAGATTACACTATTTAAATTGTACATGTGGTCACATAAAGACATCCCAATTCCAAAACAAAGAACCAGATATAGCTCAGAAAACAGCAAGTACAAGAAGATACACTCCAAATACTGATTCTTGTAATATACAAAGCAAATCATCATTTGGTACTCTTTTATCAATTTTTCCAAGTAAGACCATAGAAACTTGTCAAGCTGCTTTCCCTCCCTGTTGGTAATATACCTCCATTAGTCTGTCAGGTGTCTGCTTCAAGTGTTTTGCTTGAAACTGGCCAGAAAAGCCAGACAATAGAGCTCTGCTGAACTACTTCTGACCATAAAAACTGAAATGGTATGCAAACAGAGGGAATATTTAAGAAAATTAACATCACATCTGAACATTATTTTTTAATCTCAGTATTCTAACATACATCCAGCAGAATGAAACTATGACTTAATGAAAATTTCCTAACCTCAAAACAGAAGTATTATACAACCCTGACCTAGTCTGTAACATCTCGTGTTGATTTTCAAATAAACATTACTTCTGACAAAAAGAATTTTTTATCTCATTAATTTCAATTTGATTCAGAACAATTTTCTACATTTCTAACAGAAACCACTTTAGAAGGGAATTGGACTTGCATTTAATCACGCAAATGGGACTAAAGCACCTAGCTCCCAAATTAGCCATTACTCACTTGGCTGTGCTCTATGCAGTAGGGAAAAGCAGCCCTTATTTAATGCTAAGCTTCTTTCAAAAATAAGATACAATTCAGAAATACACTTTACTTACACATTTAGTGGCATTACAAAACAATGAGACACAAACATATTTCCAAGCATGCAAACATATACTTTCTAAATTGAGACAAAGGTAACAAGGTCAAAAAGAGTACAGCTAAAACTCTCCACTCTCCATAACTGATATATAAGTATCAATTACCACAGGACTGAAAATTAACTATTATTAAGCAACTGTTCTAAACAGTATCTTCCAAGAAGCATAAGAGAAGATTCCCTTTCCAATCTGAGTACAGCCTACTTGCTCCAGGATCTCTATTACTCCTTAGGGCTTTTTCCAAGAACTACGACTACACCGACAGGGCAGCAGATCAAGAACAGGTAACAGCTTCTTTTATTAGACCCCTGTCTGAGCTTTGTAATACAGGGGAGACTAATGAGGAATCTGCCTATAATGATAGCTGTTGCTGTATTTTGAACAGCTTTTGTGAAGACAAAAAAGGGACGAGGCTGGTGGAAGACTTGGAGACAGATGGGAGAATTTCACTTTTCAAAAAGTTCACTAGCTGCCCCAGAGAGCACTATATGCCCTTACTCAGAATCAGTTATGCAGCATTCTTCCCTTGGAAGAGAAGAAAGTATATGGCTGCTGCTATTATGAAAACAGCACATACACATTGAAGTATGTGTACCGTAGGTCACTGTTCCTTTTATGACTTCTATGCAAGTATTTTAGCCGACACTTTCCCCACCCTAGTTATTGCCCCTAACATTCTCATAGCCCATCGGAATCACGTTTCCTTCAGAGCACTACTCAAACAGCAGCCTGTATAAAGATACAGAGTAGCTAGAATTAAAAACAGATTGTTCTCTTTCCTATCAAAAGCGCAGGAAGGCTGACACAAATGACTGCTCAACAACTGAAGGGATGCCAATATAAGAAACATCCCATTAACTGAAATACAGTAAATAAAACCCACATGCACACAGACTAAATATTAGGATTTAAATGATGAACTGGCTCCAGTCAGGCTATTCTAGAGCACCTGAGGGTTTACAGGTAAATAAAGCAGCAGCATTTGG